GGGGCTAAAGAATGAGCCAGATAAGTACCCAACTTAGTGTTTTTGTCCTATTCGCTTACTGTCACTGATGTCCATTCCTCGAAATTGAATTATGTTTCTCCCCTTCTCCAATCACTTTGTTGATTCTATCAATCACATCCGATTTGGCTAAAATGTACGTGACTTGGCATTACATTCACTGTATTCTTCTTCATGGTCCACGTGCTGTAGACTTCTTTTTTAGAAAATGCCTAGACCATCTACATCTAATCGTGCCATTCAAGACGGTTTCACTTGAGCATTTAATGTGCTGCAAAGAACATGTTTTGGGGTGGAAGTGTGTCTTCGTATCTGTAACGTGCCTATCATTCCTCCACACTCCTTGATTTTGTGGATATACACCCCTTTCTATGCTTTCCTAATACTTGTGGAAGCAATTATGGCCAACATGATTAGCCAGTCTTGCAATGTCCCTGCTCTTTTCTGAAGTCGTATTTCGGCACTGTCAACGTATTGAGGACCCGAGAACCGAGGGATGGGGAGCATGGGAATTGCTTCCTGCTGAATGAAGGTACGGTCCATGGTGACACATGTATTCGCCTGATGCAGTTCACCCTATACTCGCCACATGCTTTGTAACCTGGTTTACAACAGCGGCACCTGTTTCCTGCTCTTTTATAACAAAACCTGAAGAAACATACCCATTCAAAGGAAAAAAGCTCAAAAGCTATCATTTTTAAACATCAAAATTATTTCGGATCGCGACTCTAATCTCACTAAATAACAGCGTTAATATCCAATAATTTTTATTTGCAAGAATTTTGAGGCATATTTGAAAAGCCGATTATCACCAGAAAATGCTTAAAAAGGCTCTTACGGAAATACAATCTGCGACTACTTTGACATGATGCAATTTTGCCGGTGTTTTAGGGATGCAGAACAACTTGATCGCCTGTGTGATTGTCGTCTTCCTCTGCATAATCTCCTCCAGCATTGTAGGCGCCATCAGCGCCCTCTCCCGCATGGTACCCGCAGCCATGGTCAACCCCTACCTCTACCTTACCGACTGCAAGTTTCACCTCTCATTTCTTCATCCATTTTCTATCACTCATGCAATTTTGACAGCTTTTCTAACACTGATCACAAAGTTTGCTAGAGGAAGCAATTTAAGTGACTCGGATTTTAATTCCCTAATTTTTACGTTGGCACACGTTTGCTTTTTGAATGCTCTGTGTACTTGCTTATTTTTTTAAGAAAGCGTTTTGTGGGAATTAATTGTTGTAAAGTTTGCAAACTTTATGCCAAAATTAGGAAAGGAATTCCTTGTTGTCTTGAGTTCACGTCGCTGTGTCTGGAAATTTATGATGCCTAACAGACTATTTAGACGACTGACTTGTTAGATTCGTGAGGCTGGGGAAGGTTGGGAGCGGAAAGCTACAAATTCACGACACATGCGAGTTGGCTCTTTGGAAAATTTAAGTAAACCAAAGGCAATAACAATAAAATTTTTAGGCGGAAAAGTGTGTTCTCATAGATACTGGGTAAAAATTCACAAGACTCTATAATTCAGTGATAGTTTAGTGAAGAAATATCTAAAATGGGGTTTACACTGTGCAGAGAGGGAGGCCTCATTCCTCCTTCAATCTTTCTTCGCCTCCATTCTCATTCTAGAGTTTGTGCAACTCTCCTCACGGTTAAGTTATGTGTGACTATGTAACATGGGCCGTGTGTCAACGGCTTGGCAGATTCTCAGCGTCATTGGTGGTGTCTCTCTAGATGTTCGACTAATTAGCTTATAGACAGGAGAGGGTGTGGGCGGAAAGCTAGAATTCGGAACTCATGTTAGCTGCCACTGAGGTAAATTTAAATAAACCAAAAGTATCTGAGATTGCTTGTCTAGGTAAAAAGTGCTTGAACTTACCCAGTGAAAAGTATTTTATGCCCCAGAATTTGCTGACAGTTTTGACAAGATAATTGCTAAAATAGAGTAACTAGTATGCAGAGGAGAGTGATTTACTTTTCATTTCACTACTCCTCCTTTCCTATCCTAAAGTTGACGAAAGTCCCTCACAAGCAACTTGTGTGCCACTGTGAGACACTATGAGGTGTCGAAGAAAGTGGTTCGTCGTTGACCTGTATCAAGTAGATATATTTCAACCAGGTATTGTTTGTTCTTCTTCATGCAAATGGAATAAAACGGGTTAATAAATCCTTTTGCAACCTGTCACACCTATTCAAGGCATAAGCGTAGACTTGTGGAAGCCGGATGATTTAGAGTTGGGTGAGTTTGAATGTGAGTAGAACAAATGAGAGTAACACATGATGGTCAAGATGACTTGAGGAGTGTTGGAACAACCCACATAGACTAATGGAAATGGACGTAAATATTGAATCAGTGCAATATTTGAAATTCCACGAGCATTAAATACTTTGGTGAAAATTTTTACCATTTTCAAAGACTCGCTTTTTTGGGAAGGGTAGCAAATAGCTTATAAACAAAAATCCACTTCACCACTTTAAAGGCATTTAAGGCCATGTAGACCCCGAAGTAAAGAGTAAAGTAAAGTAAAGCAAATCCAACTATGCACATTTGTGCACGAACCGCCCTCCTTCTCTCCCTCCAAGCCTTTATCTCACTCTCTGCTTTATACTTGCCTCTGCTCTGCACCTGCCCTACTTTTTCTTGTGAGAAAACAATATAAACAAGCACACAGATTTCTCTGCATGTTTTAGGATAAGGCAGTGAAGCCATTTAGGCGTCAGTCAATTTAAGCAGAGAAAATGCTGCCTTATTAAAGGTACCAAGGAGCTTTTGGAGGAGTGGGTAAACCAGTTGTGTCAGTTAATCTTGCCAATGTCAGCAAAGTGACTACCAGGTGGATTTTTCCCTTTTCTCATCCTTCATGTTGATTCAGCCAATCAGAGTAGGAAAGAGGACGTCGGTAATGTTGTGAGCATGACTTGGAGGTGGACATCGCAACTACGCTTCGAACAAAAAGGCGACGTAGGGACTAAGTAGAAATATCATTAACCACTTTGGGTTTATCCGATTTTAAGTCGCTAGAGGTAGCAGGAAGGGACGAGGGAGAATACATTATGAATACGTTGCCCCTACACCCATTAATGCAATATGTAATGGCAAGTGATATCCGACACCCATAGTTGAGAATTGATTGTTGTAGGAAGAAAGAGATTAAGGAATGGATAAGCAGATGGGAGAGTAAATGAATGAGTGGTGAATAAGTAGGTTTACGAACGATTTATGGATTGGCGGAAGAATAGCTGATTGCTTGGAGGATTGGTTAATGAAACTGGTTAATCATGGATTTGTAGGTGGATGGACTGCTACCACGAACAGACCACATTAGGCATCCTGAGCTAATATGACCAAATCCTTACCAATTTGTTACATTTGCCTTTCGCTGCCTTCGGGTCTGATGTGACTGAAGGATCAGAGCGGTCAGATTATCAAGTAAGTATCATCACGCGTGTAAGTCGGTGGAGGAACTTTGAAAGATAGCTGCTTATTAACTTCGAATTTGCACATATAGTGATGATGGACAAAAGATGTGTTGATAGTGCGACCAGGCATTCCTGATGATGCCTTATGACACCTATTCCTGAGGGGACTTTGCTTAGATGTAGGGGGCAAGGGAAGGCATCAGCCACGAACAAGGCTCCATGAGGTCCTTCTGGATGCCAAAACCGCAAAGACGGTAGAGCAGCTGGCGCCAGTTAGCGCATAGCCCAAACCAGCAACGTCCTGCTGTTCGTGACCTCACTATCTGCACCTCTGCTGATGTGATGTTGATTCAAGAATTACGTACGTTTGGATGTCAGGGGATACCCATGCATAGAATGGGCTGTATAAATTCATCGTACGGACTCTCACCTCATCCAAACACGAAGAGGTATTGTGGATCAACACAACAGCCTGCCGTTGTAATTCCACTTCAAATAGGTGGGTGGATAGCAAAATGGATCATGACCACCAAGTAGAGCTAAAGCTGGTGTATAGCTACTTCCTTGGTTTCACAATCGCTTCGACAAGTATACTGTTGTGCATTTGGCTAAGGTGTGACCCCTGGTAGCAGAATGACAGGCCGTAGCCAGAGCGTCCATCGATCAGCCATTCACCTCACGCACATTTCTTTGATGGCTGGCCGACTTGTGACTACAGTACTAGTATTGTATCTTCTCTTGGGGTTCGGTGAACCACCACACGCAACAACAGTCAACCCTAATCAATCAACGCACAAACTCACACGTCAGGATCAACAATTTATTGCCTCATGGCCATGACATGCCTCCCTCCTCATGAGTTTGCCTGCTAGAGAGAATGGTTCGCTTTCAACTCTACGCTAAGATGCAACAGTGTGTCGCGCAATGAAACAGTATCCTCTCCCTCCATAGTAGTCAGGACTAGTAAGTTGGGTGAAAGGCATATCTGACAAGTTGTGCACCACCGTGATGGCCCTATTTTCACTTTTTGTGAAACGGGAACTGTACACCCACCATCAAATTCGAACCATCATCATCATCATCATCACCATAGTCCTGCTACCTCCGGACACGCATATGTTTTCCCACTAAACAGCTCACGCAGTGAAGAAGGTCACTCTGTCAACCCGCTCTACCCACCAGGTAAAGGTCAGTGAGTGCAAAAATCACAACAATCTAGTTCCACTTTGGTAAAAAGTCGAGGACTGATGGCAATTGGACCCAGCTCCATGGACCATACTCCATAAGCAGCATTCTGCATCTCGTCCTCTAATAAAAACCCACCTTCATCTAGTCGTTCATCCCTTCTTTGGATGATGGACGATGCAATCCTCGCCTAGATGATTAACGCAGTTTTCCGATTTGCCAGCCTCTCTTCAAGCAGGCCTCATATCTCAAAAACTGAACTAAACCAAACTAATCTGCAAGAAAATGCATAATTTGGTACACCGTTTCTTAAAATCAGTGTTATGAGTCAAACTGAAGGATACCAAAAGAATTTGGGTTACCCGAGAGCCTGATCTTTACGCCATTTCCAATTTTTCTGAGGAGGAACTTCCTACTGCTACAATTTTTACGAATAAGTGCTGTTTGCATTTCTTTTCCCTCCTTGTTACACATGGGCGGGAATCACCTCGTCATGTCTTGTTGTACCTTGCAAAAAATAATTGACATACATTTACTAGTTAATTTCTTTAAGAAGCTGGCATATCTGCTGCAAGTACAACAAGTCTTCGTGTCCTGTCGGAACTGAAGCATGACCAACTACTTAGATGATACCTGCAGAGAACGAATTGTTTTTTTGTAGTGCAAGTGGCAAATGCTTTGGTCTTGTCGGACACTATGCTGCAGAATTGAAATAATCAGCTTGAAGCCACTCTCCAAAAGATCACTTTGAGTTTGTGTTGGAGATCTACAGGAGGCACTACGTTCTGCGGCATTTAGTTCTGCTGAATGTCAAACATTTGTGACCCTGATCACATGGATACACGGCGTGGCTTCTTCAACCTAAATGGCTGGGATGGCTGCAACTAGTTGGATGATATATAAATGTCTTAAAATTGCACAAAAAACAAGCTCACACCTCAATTCGCTGATTCAATCGCCCATGGGAATATGTTTCACTTGGTCTACGGCTAGAAGAGAGAAGGATGGAGGGCAAGCGGTATTACCCATTCCCATCCCATCCACCTGCATCTTAATGTTCTCCTTGATCTTTACCCAAATCAACGATTGTGGCTGTGTTCTTCTACTAATGTATTTTTGCAATCAAGATGGACAGCTGAGGGGTACATGGAGAAGTATAGTCAGAGGTGAGCAAGGCAAAGTCTTTTGTTCCTCCCTTCTGCCTGCTGGAGATGTGTAAGCTCACAAAATTGACATTCTATCCCCATGAGTTCCTTTCTCCCTATTATTCTAAACTTTTTATAATTAACTCTACTGGTAGTTCCTCCTTTTAATTGGTCAGTGGGATATGAGGTTTGCACTTCGAGTGCGCTGTGCTGTCTACGGGTAGGGCTGCAGAAAATCAAATCATCGTAAGACATGATAAAATAGGGCTGGTCCAGGCACTCCAGGACTTCATCCAACGGCCGCCTACGCGGATTCGGGTGCGGGTGTCGTTTGTCTA